ATAGGTTAACCATTTCTCTTTACCTGCTGTTTCCTTCCTGTAAAATTCTTCTTGTGCTGAGACCCATAAAGGCATTTTCGGGCACAGTCTGGGTTTATATCTGTTCCATATTCTCAATATAGCACTTCTAAATATAATGGTTCTTAAAATCTTCATTAACCTTAACTTTATTATACCGTTAGAAAACCATGCCATCCGAACCTCAGACTGTGTTCTTCTAATTCTAAAATTCTCTTGTTTCTCAGCAGAACCCACTCTTTCATCCAGACTAAGCTGCAGGCTACAAAATACAATTTCAAAGTCCCAATCCTCCTCATTCCTTTGCATCTTGAAGTATTTTATATTTAACTCTTGTTTTTTTCTCTTGCCATACAAACTTAGTTATACCTTTCTGTCATTGTTTAAATGATCCATCAGTTGTCAGAATAGGTATTGTTTGAAACAGAAACATAATCTTTGGCAAAACATTCATTTTATCACAGAAATTCTCCCCAGCATTGACAATTGTTTTTTAACGTATAGTTTTGATAGCACCGCCACTTTGCCTGTGCAAGGCTGACTCAGTTGAAAAAGAATTGTGACTTCCTTGCTAAGTTGCTTGTGACCTCCCAGGAGATCCCAACCCATAGTTTGTTGCAGGAGAAAGCTGTGTTAATCTGGGGTGGCAAAAAATCAGGAGGAATCTGATAGCACCTTTTGTGACTAACAAGTTTTATTAACAGGCATCAGCTTTTGTGAGCATCTGATGAAGTGAGCTGCATCTCATGAAAGCTGATGCCTGTTAATAAAATTTATTAGTCAGGGAAGATGCTACCAGACTCTTCCTGAATTTTTGACCCATAGTTTAAAAACCCTGGATTAGTATATTTCAGTGTCTGAATGTTTTCATTTTATTAATCCATTTGTGTTCTATCGCACCTTTTTTCAGGAGCCTACATGGTATATTCATCTCCAGCTTTATCTCCACAACGACAACCCTATGATGTAAATTGGGCTGAAAGAGTGACTGACCCAAAGTCACCTAGTTAGTTTTCAAGGTAGAGGGTGGACATAAAGGTTGGTCTCCCTTTTCTTAGTCCAGCCTCTTCATCATTACACCATGTTGGTTCTCCCCATATATCACATTAAACCATGGTTTGCTCAACCCATTTGGCTCGGTTCACACAACAAACAACTATAAACTGTGGCTTACAGGCTTTTTGAGTTCTCACAACATGCTAAACCAAAACCTAATGATATTATGGCTTATCATGATGTATAAATGCAGCCAGTGTCTTCAACTCATTTGGCTGGGTTTGTGCAATATACTAAACTATAAATAATTATTTAAATACCAGTAGTTTATCAATCACATAACATTTGTTTGGTACAAATGGCTGAATGCCATCACAGAACACAATCAGAGAAATAAAGCTATGCCAACTGTCTTATTGTGGATAGAAAATTTGCTGGGTGAGAGTGAAAAGCTGGGCACATCCAAGATCACAGCGCTTACTGCGTGGAGTATGTCCAATTCTACATCTTTCTTCTCAAGAGGTAAAAGAGAAAAATTCCTTCTTTTTCTAATCCAGGTGTTATTGAATGAAAAACATTTTTTTAAAAAAATGAATACTTGATAATGTAAATTCCAGTGTAGATATAGTTTATTTTTCACATAATAGGTTGGAAGAAATAATGACCAGAAGAGAGAACTTGGCAGAATAATTCATCTGCATACTCTCAGTCCGACTGAGTAGATTAGAATAATCTTGGAATGTTGCTCAATAACAGGCTTAGGTCCCTATTGCAAATTGAGGATGGGTCTGAATCTCAGAATCTATCACTTTGCAACATTACCCACAATGGAGGAATGGTTGATGAAGATGATGGAATTAGCAGAGATGGCTAAATTGACTTCCTTGATTAAAGAAAAAACAGTATCTACATTTATGGCTGACTGGAAACCCCTTATAGATTTTTTTGCATGAAACAGAAAAAAATGCACTTATGACTTTTGGTTTTGATGATTAGAACAAAAATTGGATAATAGAAAA